AGTGGCCCTAATCCTCTTCCGTGGTCTACATTTTTTAATGATAAAATCAGTAAGATTATTGTTGGGTGAAAATTTGTGCTACTTGCACAAGATTTATGTTATGAATATTTAAATTTAAGTTTTTTTTTACAAATGTTTTTTAAAAGTTCTTTATTTCTGGCTAAATATTTGTTACTTTGCGCAATAGATTTTCTTTTAAATACTTAAATTAAGTTTCAAAAATGAAAAAATGGGGGGAAAATAAATCAATAAAAAAAAAATATATATATATATTTTTTTTTTTACCATATTGCCCAGCCCTAATAACAAGAAATTCAACTGGACACATGGTAAAATGCATGTGTGTTCTCTGTACCTTTCGTAACAACGTGTTTGGCAGCTTGCGAATCTTCTCCACATGCTCAGCACTGATATCCAGCTCACGGCAGCAGACTCTCAGAAGGGAGCGGTAGGTGAGCTCCTGACGATCCAGTTCTACTTCGATGAAGTCGTTCTCCCGGGCATTTGGGTTTTGGATACGAACTTTCAGAACCAGCTCTAGAAGGTAAGAATGAGACATACTTCTTTACTACAAACATAATGTGGATTATTCAACAAAAGACAAAGGACATCAGAATAAGTGAGTCACTAATTTATCATACTCCTTTAAGAAAAAGACCAGATAAAATGATCTCTAACTGTCTCTTTAGGAGGGAGCCACAGTTTAAAGCGGGTGAGGTTAAATCTACTGAGGGCCTTTCAACAAGTAGGACGCTGCATGTGAGTGTTTTTTAATTGCTCTATTTATGTAAAGTGCATAGCATGATCTAACACACCTTGTACATTGACGGGAAAGGTGCTGGTGAAAAAGAAAGGCTGAAACGCCGGCATGGAACCGATGGCCTGGTTGTAGCTCAGCTGTTGTGGAATAGACTGCTGTCTGCTCATGGTGGGGTTGGGGCTTGCCACTGGAGCTTGAACCTGGCTCGGGCTACTGCCAGCCAAGCCTGGGTGAGGTGAGGCTGACGGAGGTGAACTCACAGTACCATTGTGGGCCACCACGTGAGAGTAGTCGGTGTGGTTGACCAGATGAGGCTCGACTGAGAGGTCCATAGGCACTGTGCGGTCGACGACAGTGTGACTGTGGGAAGAGGTTGTGCTGGATGACACGCCATTTTGCTCAGGCACAGGAACTAGCTCAGCAGCTGAAGGTTGGCTGTGATTGACGACTGGATTCGTTGGAGGGGCGGGTCCATCACTCTGGGGTTTCTGGAGCTCTTCAGTGGAGGAAAGCGAGGCTGAATCGCTCTGTGTGTCTTCACTGAAGTCCCTTGAGCCGTTCTGTGTGAGGTGCTGGTTTTGGAGCGTCTCTGACTTATTGTCCATCTTGGAATACATGAAGGGTGGGTTGGACAGGTAATTCGGGATAAATGGCAAGTTGGACTCCTTGACCTCAGGCACTTCCTCCACCTCAACTATTCAAGTGCAGAGATGAACATTAATGACAAAAGAATTGACATAATAACACAGACAGACCTTAAACAAACAGCTTTCAATAAATTATACCATGGGTTTTAGCTGAATATACCAAAAATGACAAATAAAACAACAGGATCATTGTGACAAGACATACCTCCTAAGAGTCGCTTGATCTCTGGTTTAGATGTAAGCTGAGAGGCAAGCTCCTCTTTAGCTGTGAGGATTTCTTTGTCTGCTCCACAACTGAGTAAGTAGGACACTATGTGCTTATGGTTCCTCTTGCAAGCCCAGTGCAGGCATGTCCTGGAAAAAGGATTGGAAAAGCAACAGGGTTTATTCCACTCTTTTATCCTCTATAGAACCTTTGTTAGACAATGTAAGAAAACAATCAACAATAACTACCAATAATATGGCTACATTTATCATGTCTGACAACAACCAAGTGTGAGAGTTTAAAATGAACATGCTGCTACTATAAGATGAAGGTTTTAATATCCAACAAATATAGCTTAGATCATATATATATATATATATTAATCTCAAACCTTCTCTTTAAAGGGAAATTAATTTGATTTGATTAAAAGTTTCTTAATCATTCTGTATTAAAATCTAAGCTTGACAAATGATATTCAATTTTTAGCAATATCTTTCATTTTGTAAAATAGCACTAAGAGATATTTTTACATTGGTATGGTTTTTATTTTCCAAAGCACATTTTAGAATTTAATCCTAACATTTTTATGCCTATTTTATTCTTTTTGCCAATCTTGGCTATACAGATCCTTCAGTAGAGAAATGCTATGCTCCGGCCTACACAACTATGGGAGAGACCTCTGATTTGACAGTGCAACTCATTAACAGACATCATCTACAAGGAGGGCAAGCCACACAAGTAATGTGTCTAAGGAGAGTGTTGAAAGATGAGGGGAAGGACAAGGTGCACAAACAATAATAACCATTGTAGCTTTTGAGATAGCCTGATAGACAAGACTAAATGTGAGATTAAATGTGTAATTTAGTCTGGCCCTGATGAATGAGACACCGGAAGATTGTTGATGAGAATACCCCGTT